ATTTAGTTGGTCTAATAAAAGATATCACATCTGCCCAAATAACCTTGTCTGCCTATGTCCTTAGACCAACACAGCTACAACCAACTATCCTAAGAAGGCCATTTGCAAATCTGGAGGAGGAAATGCTGATCACAAGCAGCCAGCATGGATTTATGAAAAACAAATTGTGTCAAACAAACCTGATCTCCTTCTTTGACAAAGTAACTACCTGGCTGATGAAGGGAATGCTGTGGATATGAGTATCTGAACAGCTTTTTACAAGGTCCCTCAGGACCTTCTTATAAACAAATTGGAGAAATGTAGGCTAGTTACTACTATAAGGTAGATAGATAACTGGCTTAGTAGCTGCAAGCAAAGGATCATTATTAACTGGTCCAGGTCAGGAGGTTTCAAGTGGAGTCACACAGGGTTCTGTCCTGGACCTGGTGTTGTTGAATGTATTTATTAATGATTTGGATACTGGAATACAAAGCTTCTTGAGCAAGTTTGCAGATGACTGGGAAGGACTGCAGACACGTTGGAGGATGAGTACTATTCAGGACTGGAAAGTTGGGCTAGAGCTAACAGCATGAAGTTCAATGCGGACATATGCAAGGTGCTACACCTCAGGCACATCTACATCAGACATTTGCTGTGCATTTGACTAATTAGCTGTACAGGCCATATCTTGATGTCTACATGTGTGCTGCTATTAGGCTGAAGTAAACTAATGTACAAGTACTATCCTGCTGCAGAGTAAAAAAACTCCACAGCAGCACACATGTAGCTGCTGCCTGGCTGGCTGGGGCATGAAGGTGCTTCCTTGAGGGGGCTGCCTGACAGTTTCACTCCCCTTGGCTCAATGTGCCAAGGGAGTAATAACTGCGGAGCTTATTACTCTAGAGTTAATTGCTCCCAGGTGCACATTCAAACGATGCGCCTGGGAGCAATTAATTCCAGAGCAATAAGCTCTGCAGTTTATTCAGGGGCTGTAATTACATGTGTTGAAGCACCCCACAGGAGGAATAATAAAAAATACAAGTATAAAATGTGTGACACCTGGCTGGATTGCAACACTATGGAAAAGGACTATGGGAGTCTTGGTAGCTCACAGACTCGATATGAGTCTGCAGTGTAATGCAGTCATACAAAAGGTGAATGCAGTTTTGGGAAGCATCAATAGAAGCATTAGGAGCAAGACATGGGAAGTGACAGTACCTCTCTCCTCAGCACTGGTTAGGCCTCATCTGGAGTACTGTGTGCAGTTCTGGGCCCCACATTCCAAAAAGGATGTGAAGAAGTTAAAGAGGGTCCAGAGGTGGGCAACAACGATGATAAAGAGCTTGGAAAGCAAGTCATATGAGGAGAGGTTGAAGGAACATAATCAGCTTGTGGAAAAGGCGCCTAAGAGGGGACATGATAGCAGTCTTCAAATAATTGAAGGGCTGCCATAAAGAAGAGGGAAAACACCTTTTCTCTCTTGCTACAGAGAGGTGGATGTGGAACAATGGCTTGAAGTTGCAGCAAAGTAAGTTTAGATTGGATATCTGGAAAAACTTTTTCCCTGGTAGAACAAGGAGGCAGTGGAATAAACTGGCAAGGGAAATTGTGGATTCCACATGACGGGAGGTGTTCAAGAGGAGATTGGACAGTCACTGGTAGGGATGGCCTAGGCATAGCTATGCCTACGTTTTCTTATGGGTATGTCCCATGCTTCTGGCCTTTGCTGGTTGCACTGCCTCACCCTTTCTATTACATGGGTTAGGATATGTTTAAGCCTTCCTCAGAGGCATTGGATGTTGGCTACAGCCAAGGCTGAGGACTTTGCCTGGGGTGTGCCAGTGCTTCTGCTGGGACAAAAGCTGGAGGTTCCTGCCTGAAGCGTCTTGCTCCCTGGCTAAAATGACTTGCCCTTCTGCTCAGGGTCAGACTGATTGCTATATTTGGGGTCAGGAAGGAATTTTGGCCTATGGTCAGATTGGCAGGGACTGTGGTGGGTGTTGCTTTCCTGTGTGGGGGGCCTGGCCCTCTCCCCAGGATGTCTCGAGCATATTTTGACAACATTTCATTGAAGCAGGATTTTGGCTGCCATGGTTCCCCTGCTTTACCTGTGGCAGGTTATGGGATTAGGTCTGTGTTGTGTCAGGGGTGATGGTAGTTTTATGTAGAGTTTAGATTATGGTTTGTGTGGTTTGGTTTGGATAGGGATGATCCTGTTTCACGCAGGGGGTTGGACTAGATGACCTCGTGAGGTCTCTTCCAGCCCTACTCCTCTATAACTCTATGAACATACGGACCCAGGTCTGGATTTCAAACACCAACAGTTTCAGGCCTGTAGGGTTTGGGGCATTTGGCTTTACCTATTATGACCAGGACCTGTAACAAAATATGGGTCCAGATCTGAGCTTGGATTCTTAACACTAGGCAGGGAAGGGAGCACATCCAAATGCAGCCCTTCTCTAGCCCACATGAGAATGATATAGGTGATGCTGATTGTGAACACTGAAAAGATTTGGGAGCAACAGTAACCAGGACTTTAGAGAATGAGGACAGGATCATCAGTGCCTCTGCCTGAAGCTCTTATCTTTATCCTACGTGCAGCAGGGGGAAGACAAAGAGGCAGTGGAGGCAGAGAACAAAGACCATTGACAAGACGAGAAAACCCCTGCTCCTGTTTGTGACAAGGGATAGAATATATAGAACATGCTGTTTACATTTTTCCTTTTTGAACCCCAGGGTCATTGCACAGTAAGTATTATATTACTCTTTTTATGTTATGAATTCCAAGTGACCTGATTGCTTACTCTTATTATTAGTGATGCTGTGTGAATACTGTGTCAAATTACCAATACGAAACAAAAACTTCACGCCAGGGACAAAAACATTCCGAAAGATGTTACAGCAAAGGGTAATTGGTGAATTCTGCACTACCTAGAGCCAATTTAATTTTCTGCTTACAAGACTGGGAGAAACAATTGGAGAGAGGCAGTCTCCACAGCTGATAGGAAAACAGTAGGATGAGAGATCCTTTCCTTTTACAATAGAAGGCAGAATAGCAGCTGTATGTGTGTTTCCAAGGCAGAATAGCAGCTGTAGATGTATTTCCAGGGCATGGTTTCTATGTAGTTGAGGTTGGCTGAAAAATTGCACATCCAGAGCAATATGGCATCTGCCAGCACCCTGTGACTGACAGGGGAAGTGAATGGTAAGAAGCTATAATGTAATAATAAATTAAGGGGCTAAAAGAGTGGTGGGTCACATGGGGCACCGTGGAATCCATGAGTAATTGAAATGAGAATATATGCAGAAAAGATTTAGAAATTCACTGTGACGTGTTCCCTGTATGTGGGTAATCCCTTGGGTGGATTTATTTCTGTGGGCTGCCTCAATGAATTTACTTGAGGTGTTAGATGTCTAGATATAGATAGACACACATCTCATTCAAACTCATATACTTATGTGGGAAAAGGTATTTTTGCTTTTTGTGAGCATATCCACCAATAACAGTGGGAGCTGCGAGTTCCTTGTTACCAGTTAGGCTGGATTAAAATGATAGCATGCTCTGTCTTCACTCAGATTTAATAAGGGGTTAGCTATTATTTTTCTCCTCGGTGTCTTTTTTCTTGTCTTCCTGGTTTCCCAGGATTTGTATTCAACATACACTCTTCAATGGTAGCACAAACTGTGGTGATGTCTAATCTTGGTCCTTGATGTGTATAGGGTCGCTTCTTGCGATGGACTACTGTGCTGACATTTGGGTCAAATCTATCATGCAATTTCAAGTATTTCAAACCAGTATGCTATTGCTTACTACAGAAATTAACAAGGAAAAATGTTCATAAACGATGGACCATTCTCTTCTCTAGGATTTCCAGTGCAGCCTATCAACTCCTTCTACCTGGCTGAGAACCCCAAGAAAACAAATTTCAAAAGTGGTGAAAGAGCTTTATCTGCCTAAATCCCATTGCCTTTCAAAGAAACAGAAGGTATGGGCGCACATACATCTGGAGCCATTTTAAAAAGGTAGTGGCTGTTATGTTTCAGTTCTTGTGTGTGGACAAGCTGGAAACTAATCCAATGCACCAACTTTAAGACTTCTGCATCCGGTGTTAAAGTTGGATCTGTTTTGCTACGTTTATATCATTTTCAGCTTGTCCATGCATAATAATTAGAACATAATAACCACTGCAGTTTTAAATCATCTCCAAATGTATGTGTGGTAATACCCTTGTGGTTTGCCTAAACTGCCGTGTAGCCTTGAGATACTTAATTGAGTTTTAAGAAAGCTGATTCAGCACCAACAGTACCAACTCAGCACCAACAACAGTACCAACAGTACAGGTACCAACTCATGGCAGCATGAAGCTAATTTATCCTGCTGAGATGCAACTGTCTGGACTACATTGTAGGCATCATTAAGTTGCTAAATGGCTTCTGAAATCAGACCTAGGTATCTAAATCACTTAATCTGTAGGGCTGAATGGGCAATGCCCAGATCTTTCTCGCTGATCACTTGAAAATGTGGCTTAATTTCTTGTCTTGCACATCACTGAGCATGCTGTCAACATGCAATAATCTGTTAATGTATTTCTCTGGTTTCTACTGTGCTAGCTAAAAATATAAAGTACAGTACATGAAGTTCATATAAACTTTACATGTAACCTGTGAAACTAATGTAACTAGAATTACTATTGATTCCTCCTGACCCCTGAGGTCTATAAGTATATAGGAATATTAGGAATATATAAGAAATTTATTGACTATATAAGTATATAGGAAGGTTAGTAGGGGACCATGCAGTAGTAATATATGGTTCCTGAGAGACTTGTGCAAGTACTGAGCAACAAAGACTTTGGTAATATGATGCTTTTATAAAGGTATCATGCTTGGTTAAATTTGGAAAATTGAGTTGTGCCCAGTAAATGCTTTATGGCCAGATTAATGAGTAACCTCCACTTTAATTAGTCAATTTCTACTCTCCCACTGCGTTACATATTCTTTTTTGTTCCCTCTATAAAAACTCTTCTCATCTTTACTCAGTCACTTGCAGCTTCAAAATGCCAGTAGCACTACACGAACTGCTTTTATTCACGATTGGAATAGTTTATCTAACAGATGGAAACTCAGCACTGCTATCTGTACGAAAAGGTAGGATCACAATTTAAGACATGGTTTTAACCATTTTAAAGGCAAAAGGTCAGAATCTTACCTAGTACAAGACCATGTATTGCCTTTGAAACAATGATTTCACTTTTTCATATAGATCTTTAAACAACAGAAATATTTAGGCATCAAAAGTGCAAGGACAAGTCTGGATTTTTTAAATCTTTGTGTTCAATTTTCTTTATGCTTCACAAAATCACTATTTGCGTTGCTAATTGCCCTAGGTATCTGACATTTACCATCAGAAGTGTGGGCAGTCATTTTGAGGATTTCAAGTATTTCCTTTTTAAAATGTGAATATACTTGCATGTAGCCTGTTTTGAGTTACAGGCAGATATAAAATACAGTACAGTTAATCCATACAATGTCAAATTTAAGCTATTTGTATGGGTTCTCCACTTTGCTTGTAAAAAAAAAAAAATGTATAAAGTATTTTTTGGGCTTGTGAGCAATATAGTTGTTGTTTGGAAAGTGTGCATGTACATGTCTATGTGTATAAAGAATGTATTACTATAGTAGTAATATTAATATAAAATTTCATGGGTTTTTTTGGCAAATCTGATAGCACATCATTCAGTTGTCAGATGCTTACAAAGTTATACTAGTGGAAGGAAAATTTAAAATTTTTTTTAATTTGAATTTTTTTCATACTTCTGATGAAGTCAGGTGTCCCTGAAGCATTTTTTGGAAACACTTTCAAGCACTCTTAAGAGTCAGGAGTTTGGTGTCTTCATCTTGGGGGAGCATTGTGCCGCTCAGGCAGCTGCACTGCACTGTGGTGGTGGTGGAGAGATCATTATTTATATGGGGAAATACCGATATCGTACCAAAATGTTTAGAATATTCAACCAAAAAAGAGGAAAAATTTGTATTTTGAGTTTGAAAATTATTTTTCTTTCAGTTTTCACACTTAAAGCGTAAATTGACTTTGGTTACCTGAGCCAAAACAAAGAGATCTTTCATTTCACTGGGTCACTTTTTCCCTTTTTTTCCTTTTGCCTTTGGAGTGAGAACTAGAAAAATATTAATAAACAAAAAGACAGGAAATCCAAAAAGAAGAATATTTTGTATGTTTGTCAAATAAAACTTGGGGAAAATTTCTATAATAAAATTCATATATGGGAAAGGTCATATTTCATCTATAGTTTTGAATGAAATATTTAATTTAACTGTTGCATCAGCATTGACCTGACATGGCTCCCATTGACTTCAGCTAGGGCAGCCCTGGAGCACTTTTAGAAATCCCACTTTAAATGTATATTATAGAAACTCTGCCTGGGATTCCAAAACACTTTACAGGGATCTCTCACCCACCACTGTATATACTTGGCATATTTTTATTGCTGCTGATTCTTGAAAACTTTCTGGTAGTTTGTCATACAATTCTAGAATGAGTATCAGTAGCTTACCAGTGAAAGTTCCCAAACTAAGTAATCTCCTCTCTAATATGCTGAGCATCTCACTTGCTTTCATTAAATAAATATAACTATTATAAATAATATAAATTAAATAAATATTTAGTGCATTCATGTCACAGGAGGAGGGAAAGTTAAACACGTTTTGGGACTCAATTTTCAAAAATGAGCAATTGAACAATTTGTTTGGTTTGGGAAATGCAGTCAAACCACTCTCTTTTCTCTAGATGCAGGTTGGCAGAATTAGATGCTTAGCTTTTAAACAAAACCCACTAAAAGTTCAATGTTATTGTTATAAGTGTTTTTATCTGCCTCACAAGACCACACTGGGTAGCTTTAGCACAGACCTATATAGTAGCAATGTTAGGCAAATGCTCAATGCTTTTGAGAAATTTAAGCTGTTGATTATCAAAACTTATGTAATGTGCAGTTCAAACCCAGTTGTCCAAAAAGGAAAGCAAAAACATTTGGCTAAATGATGGATGTCTCCATAACTGTTCAGGAGTTATCCCAAAATTTGGCATTTCAGATTTAAGGGGCTCAAATAAATGGGGGTTTAAAAGTTTTATGTATTTTTGTTTGCCTTACATTATTTGTTCTAGGGTGAAGGTGTAATTATTTGTATTTCTTAAAGCCTAAAAGAAGAATTATTGTAGCAGGTAGCCAGCTACTCTTTTCTCACCCTAGTCAAATGTAGGCACAAAACCTATTTCTCAATAGGAATAAGTGGGGAGATAGGTGTGTGTGGCGGGGGGGGGGGGGGGGGGCGCTAAATTATGTACGAGAATTAACTGCAATAACAAAGGATTAGACTTGACCCTGGAGGTTACTTCTAATCCTCTGCTTCTAAAAAAAAAAAAAAAAGGAAAAAAAAAGATCATTCAGATCCAGAGTAAGAAGTTAGTAAACTCTTTCTGATTCTGTAGGCTGTATGCAGGTACACTCAAGGAGATTCCAGTTATTTGTATGATAGGGTGACAGAATGGATCTTTATGGGCATCTTAGCTGATTTATCTTCAAATGTCTGCATGTTGTACAGAATGTGGCACAGAAATGTGTTTTCATTTTTTCTTTCCTTTTCATTTTGTTTTTTGTTTGTTCCTACCAGACCCTAGGTGTGGGCAGAAACCACGTGAGACAAAGCCATGGAGTTACTTCAACCTCCTCACACGCATTGTTGGTGGGAACCAGGTGGAACAAGGCTCCCATCCATGGCAGGTTAGTACAAGAAAATACTGTTTTATCCGATGCCACCTTCAGAGCAAAGGTCCAAATTTTCATAAATATAACAAAAGCAAAGGCAGGTATTCTATGTGCTTGTTGGCACTTTTGATGTTGTGTTGTTGAGTCCCATGATACTTTTATCAAAAGCAGTGAAGCAGATAGAGGAAGAAGGAACGAGTTCCTAGAAAATTTTGCTTTTTTAATTATCGTGTTTTAAAGACAATGCGGATCTGTGATGAACAGGGCTGGGTGAAGGTGTTGGGAAATAAAGGAAACATCACTAACTGCTAGAAAGTAACGCTTGGCAAGTGGTTCTTGGTGGTTGTTCATCTGAGACTGCAGATTTATTTCACAAAGGCCACTGAAAAGCTGTGAAGGCTCAAGACTTTAGGGAACTAGTGACTGGTGTGAATGACAGTCAGTAGTTTACAGGTGAAAGATTCCAAACTAATTCATTCCCTCTCCAATGCTGAATATATCAGTACTCTTTCTTTGATTTATATATATACTTTGTAACCATGGACACTTACACAAGTTAAATTTTCCATGTGAATCGGGACCCTGAGAGCACTCTACACATGCATGGCTGCAGAGTACTTTTAAAGTGGCCAATCATGCAAAAATTAACCCTCCTCAAATGAGGTAGTAGATGAAAGTGCTCTGCTTTACAGTGCCTTAGGGAACTTGTGTTCCCTAGGGTTATTTTTTTCATACGTTGGCTGAACTGATGCAGCTGAGTCCCACTCCTTCCCCCACCCCAGGGCTGTCAGCAGGGAGAGTGAGAGGGAGAGACAAAAGGAGGGAGCAGCTCCAAGCTACTGGCTGGGGCTTGCTGCCTGGCCTGAGTGGGGTGGGGGGTGGGGTGGGTGGAAGAAAATCCCCTCTCCCCCGCCTCTTAGTCCCAGACTGGCTCCCCCCAGTACTCCTTCCAGGGTACTAGTGGGGAGGGGGACGTGAGGCAAAAGGCTTTGTTCCACCTTCCAACTCCAGCTCAGGCTGGGCAGCAAACCCCAGCCAGCAGCTCGGGGTTGCTCCCTTCCCTCCCCCTCCCTCCTGCTGACAGTTCTGGAACTAGTGGAGCTGAGGAGAGGGCCCGTGCAGGCAGGCTCAATCCCTCCCAACCCAGCAGGAGAATGTCTTTTGGGTAGGGACGCGTGCTCTAACTCATGGCGCTTATGTAAAGTGCCATGAGGTAGAATTGGGGTCTGAATGTCTGTCTGCACCCCGTGTCACAGAAGGAGAGAAACTTGAACACATACTGTGGCTCAGTGGGAGTTGCGAGTATTTTTTAGAACCAAGGGCAACATGAAAGCCAAGGAAGTGGTTTTGAATTTGTGTAAGCAGTATTAACTTCAAATTTATGAAGGCTTTGAGAATGTGATCAGAGTAGATATATAGATTTGTACTTGATGCCATTCTTTGTGATACAGGTTTCCTTGAAACGAAGGCAAAGACATTTCTGTGGAGGCACCATTGTTTCTGCTCAATGGGTGGTCACGGCAGCTCACTGTGTTGTAGACAGGTATGAATGAAGAATTTGTCTACAGGGCTTTAAAAGAACAAAAATGCATATTGCTACCAAAAGTGTTTGTGCAGTGGCATTTGCATGTGAAGTTTGTTTCTAAGAATATTTCTTTTTGGAAAATGCTTCCTGAAAATATTTATCTAAGAGATCAAAGAACTCCTAATAGTTCTGAAGTAGTTTGCTAAAGTTAAACAAACCTGGGAAGTGTTAAGACCAACAACACAATTTGGGGTAAAATGTATACCAAATAGTAACAGACTGGAATACTTCAGGCAGCAGAGTGCAATGCACAAAAGGCTCAATTTGCCCTTCATTACACATTACAAATTTAATTATGTAACTGGGGGTTTTGAAGTCTAGGGCTTTCAAAAAAACCCCACAAAAACCCAGACCTTTCCCAAATTGCAATGTTCTTAAATGAGAGATGTCAAAGAGAGAAGTGCCAGGGTTGGGGAAGGGGGTAGCTAGAGGGGGGTAGAGGGGGCAGAGGAGGAGAGAGAGATTCTAGGAACCAATAATCTCAAGTGAAATATTTCAAATGAACTAACCAATTATGTCCAGTATCTGTTTTTCCATCCATTAAACATGTATAATTTGTAGCCTGTTAACAAGAGGGCATAAAACTAAATACACATTGTTCTCTGGAGATTTAGTTGGTTGCACTCTTCCCTGCACGTTCAAACTAAGCTAGTGCTTTTTCATGATACCAGGCAGTGCATTGCTGGAGAGAGACTCTCTTTAATAATAAGCAGCAATACAACTAGCCTGGTTTCCTGTGGCAATTAAAGACCTCAAAGTAGGAAGAAAGGAGAGGCTGGGTCTGAATTAAGTCAATTTCTGTTCCTCAAGGTAAAGCTCTATAGAAGAACACTCTCTTTAAGAAATCCTATGGCTTAAGATGTTCATCAGTGTATAATGCAAGTAATTTCTCTTACCTGAAATGACTTGAATTACTGAGGAGAGGAATAAATGGAGCAGGGTTCAGTTTTGAATATTACTGGAAAAAAAATCTTTTCTAGTCATTCATTTATCTACATTTTAAAACAAATTAGGGATTTTCAAAGGTGCCCAAAAGCATTAGGGGACAAATTGCTAGAGCTAGACATCTAAACTCCTATAGGCTCTTTCTGAAAATGTGAGTCTCATGAGATTAAAATAGATTTCTATTTAGAAACCAGATGTCCCAAATAAAGAAGCATGCTATTGTCAAATCTATTGTCTATGGAGGTGTTTTGTATCACAGTATAGCTAATTAACAGAGATTTAGGATAAAAAAACCATTGCTATGCAGAGGGCTAGCACCAGTAAATTTACTGACTGTAAGTAAAAAACAAAACAAAACAAAACCCCAAAAGACCAAGGTGTCTATCAGTAAAGTCTATAAAAAAAACTTTAGCCATCACTAAAAACACTAAGCAGCCATGGCTTCACTGAAGCTCTGACAGGAGCACAGTAGCACTACCTGGTGTCAAAGCATGAGCACAAGGAGCATTCATTCAGCAGTGTGAGTAATATTGCTTGGTTTCAAGTAAGCTTCTTTGAGGCCCATATGGGGACAGGGAGGCAAGGATGGGAGGGCTAAGGCCAGGGGTGGGGTGGAAGGGGACAGCATGGTTCAGGGTATAGTTGGAATTGCCACAACGTGGGAGTGAGTACAGAGGCCCTGGTGGTGGGGGGGCGAGGAGGTGGGGAGAGAGAGAGAACAGAGAACCAGACCCACCAGAGATGTAATGTTTAGAGTACAGGAACAAAAATAAGGAATTTCCCGTATCTATCACAAATTCATTCTGTGGTTTAAGTAAATAATTTAATGTCTTTGTACTTTGGTTTCCCCATCTCTGCCACCCCAATGGGGACTGCAAGGCCTGATCAGTTAATGTTTAGATATGTGGATGGATGGTGATACATTAAGGTTGTCATTGCTGATGATGTTTAAAACCAATAACTAAGAATGTTCTCTCTCATTTTTAAGTATCCCCACTTTTACTATTTCAACATTTCTTAACCATCCTACAGGTATATATTGGATTACCTGAATGTCACTGCAGGAGAGTATGATTTGAGTCTTGAGGAGGAGGAAGAGCAGACTCTGCCTGTTGAATCCATCATTAAACACCCATATTTCAATCCTGGAAGACCCATGAATTATGACATTGCCCTTGTGAAGTTGAAGGGCTCCTTCAGATTTAGTAAGGTCATAGTTCTAGGCAATAATTTCCAAATGGAAATGTCAAACCATCGGCGACGCATAGGGGGTGCACACGGATACACGTGCACCCCCTGAGATTGGCTGTGCCTCCCCTGAAAGCGCCAGCCGCGAAACCAGAAGTGCCAATGAAAGTGCACTTTCGGTTTTGCTGCTGGCTTGGTGATTGGCCACTGGGGGACCCCCCTACCACCCCATCAGTGACTGGCTGCAGGCTTCCCCCTCCCGTCGGCGATCTGGTGCCCCCCCAGACTCAGGAGGCACCAGTCGCCTATGGTCAAACCCACAAACTATCTTGTTGAGTAACACTCTTAAGGTTATTGCTTAAGGGGCAATATTTTATACAGAATTTTAAGTATATTTTTCACAGAAAAAATAAATTGTAGTAAAATATACAACATAAGAGACCTTTAAATGATGCAACAGTTTGCATTGACTTTGTATTTGGAGATCTAGAGGTGAGTCAGAAAAAAATCAGTTCAGCTGAGTTGAATGCTGAGTAGTGCCTTGAAGAAGAAAGCCAGGAAAAAGGCCAAGAAAGCCAAAAGAAAACATCCTTATGCATAAGAGATCATAATCTATCCTCTAAAGAGCTTTTATGGTGAAAGAAAACTAGATTTCTGCTTCTGCACAATGGCTTGCCTAGTATGTTCTAGCAGGGTCAGAATAAGACTTAATGACCTCAGCCCTTCTAACTCCCCATACCATCACCCCACCAACCATTCTCTCTTTCCATAGATGCAAAGGAAAGAGCAAGGGGTCCTCTTTGCAAATACAACTTGGATTCTTAGCACTGTTATTCTCCTGCAGAGGATGGAGCTGAGCACACCTAGCTCTCCACAGTATACTGATGTGCTCCAAACCAGGAAGTTCACCAGTGCTGTCCAGCCACCCTAGTGGCTGCTTTTAGGTCAACCAGAGAGTAAGGGCTGAGGGAAGACACTGAGCATGAATCCAAAGCAGCCTCCCTGGCCAATTTCTGGGCCTGGAACATGCCCACCCACACCAAAATATGCTACTACTACCATGGTATAAACAAGCCCAAGTCCAAATTGAGCATGACTGCTGTGTTACCTGTTGATAGTCATATAATGCTAATGCAGAGCAGTTGGTCTTGGTGTTAAAACCACACTGAGGTGCATGGTGCAATTCACTCCACACTCTTCAGACTCAGACCTACATCTATGTTTGCTTCACATGGCTTTCTTTGCAATTGCAATTGTAAGGATAAGATTTTTTTTCCAAATAAAAACTTAGATTTGGACCTAAAGTAATGACTTTATGAGCTAGCCCCTAGGCCACGTTCTGTGAAATATCAGGCTTATGCCAGTGTACCACAGACAGTTGGGCCGCATCCAGACGAGTGTGGATGTGCAGTATGTGGTGCCACAGACCCGTCTTTGGCAACACACACTGCGCATGCAGGTGTTCCCTGTTCTGCTACCTTGCAACCGGGGGGGAGGTTGACTCTGGGAAATCCCAGATTCAAAAAACCCATTCCAAAAAAAAATGGGGCAGTACACATGGTGGCAATGTGTGCCACCCAAAACTGGACCCTGGCCAGCTGGAGCCATGCTCCAGCTGCGGGCCAGGTTCCCATCTGCAGGGACACCACAGCTGCAGTTCCCCAAGGCTCCCATAATCCCAGGTAAGGCTTCTGGGGCCAGTACAGTTGTTGGCACCAGCTTCCCCTACCCTACCTGGGTAACCTGTCATGCACCAGAGGGCACATGGCATGGGCGTTCCCTAGGGACAAGTAGCAGTGGCACAAGGTGTGCCGCTGCTACTTGTCCCCAGGGAAACAAACGTCTGCATGTGTGTGGATGTGGCCCTGGATTCCAGAATAACACTGTAACATCTGTCACACAAACCCATAGTGGTCTATAGTAAAGGACCATATAAAAAGGAAAGCAAAGCTAAAATTGTTTTTTCATCTGTTTACCAAGAAGTTCTGTATACATGTTCACGTTAGGTCCATCGGTTGTGCCAGCATGCCTTCCTGATCCAGATGAGAAGTTTGATCCAGGATACATTTGCACCACTTGTGGTTGGGGCCGTCTAAGAGAGAGTAAGCCACTGGAGTTCCTCTTTGAAATGCCTAAGTACCACCCCCACCTGTCTCTGACCCACTGTCTCCCATTCCCTTAGATCCTCTCTGCCATGCATTTGCATTTGCACGGACCTGCATTTTGCACTGGCTTCTGTTCTTCCCAAGAGAGCACACACAACACCAGCAGACTCTCCCTATGCCTGAAGAATAGTGTTTGTGCCTAAAAGCTTGCAAAGAACAATTTTCCAACTATTAGTTGGTCTAATAAAAGATATCACATCTATCCAAAGAACCTTGTGTGCTAAAGTACTAATATTCAGATCTATGAGCTCCTTTGTTTTTCTATTGAAATGTACTGTGGTTCATGCAGCATGCTCACATGTACACAGCAGGCAGATGGTGTAAATGCTACAGGAGGGAACTCTTTTAACCGGGATTGTAATTCACAGCGGTAGACATTTTTGAATTTGCTCAGTTTTACTTTGGTTCAGTTTATATCTGAAAGCTAAAAACAACTGTAGACAGCTCAAAACTGTAGGCAACTTAGGCATGTAGGTTATAGATGGGCCAGGAAGAAAATATCATCTATAAATGAGCATCGTAATCTTAAAATGGGGCTTAAGTGGTTCCTTGGCTTTGTGCTAGCCCTTTCATATAGATGAATCTCTTCCCAACTGCCAAAGTTTTACCAAAAAAAGCAGTGTAACTTCATGTCCTATAATAGATCCAAGTGTTTTGTTTTGAACATTTGAACTTTAGTTTCTGTTCAGCTGCTTGGAAAGTGATATAGATTGCTATCTTGTCTTTAAATGTGAACTGAAACGAATTCAATAAATAACAGTTTGGTCATAAATTACCACAAGTTTTGTTTGGCTGCATTCCCCTCAAGAACAGATAAGAGACCAAATTATGGCTTTTTAAGAAAGTGAAAATTTGTTCCTTGGCTTCCTCCTTGGTCAAGTTGGAAAGCAGTGCCAAGCACTTTCCCCTCTACATTGGCTCAGCTGTGCTGGCTGTAGAGGGTCCACATGCCTGAGAGGGTATGCAACAAAAGGCTTAGTGGGATATATTCTAGCCTGCGGACACCTATACACGTGCAGTGAGGCTTCTCTGACCTGCTGTAATTACAGTGTGTTGGAGCAGACTCAGTTAATCAAGTCTGCTGGACCGTGGTAATTACTGCACTGTAGCAGATTCCAGCCTCACATGTATTAGCGTCCCTGCGCTGAAAAATGGCGGCAGGGGTGCTTTAATTAAAGCTCGTTCGAGCTTTAGTTAAAGCACCTCCACCACCATTTTTTCAGTGCAGGGATGCTGATACATGAGATGCTCTGGGCTCTTTAATTAGATGGACTTTT